TAGAGTGAATTAAGAGAATGTAGTGAGAAAAATCCATTAGAGTGATGGAATAGCATAAAAAGTTGCATGAAGCAATGAGAAGGTGATAGGGGTTGCCTTTTATGGGGCCTTTTTGTTAGGGAAGATGGAGTTGAAAGTGGGAGGGGAGAAAAGGATCAAAAGAGATGTTTTGTATTATGAGGCATAAGTAGTGACCTTTAACTTCTGGAGGTACAGAGAGGAGGGATACCATTTTTATCATGTACATTTGCTACTGTTTTGTCTATTGAGATAATGCCATTATTTGTGGAGGGACTAAGACAGAAGGGATAAAAGTGTAACACTTACGGCATGTGAAGAGCTTAGGAGAGAAAAATTTTTTTCAGCCCTTGTCTAAATGAAATTAACTGAGTTTCACCTCCATCAGTCTTTTCTTCCCTTTTTACTGATAAGGAATTTTCTGCTGTGGATAATTTTAATGTTCTTTGAGATAGAAATGTTCTTCTCTAAGAGCAGTGAACTTCTGTTCATAAGGCAGTATCTTAGCATGCTAGTAAAAATTTTGCTATTTGAACTCAAGTATTTTTTCACTGGTTTCCTCATCTGTCTGTAGTCAAGCAATTTACTTATTTAAAAGTTCCTTGAACTATGTCTAGTTTCACTATGAGATTTTTCACCAGTTTTTTTTCCCCACAGCTTTGCTTTGTAGCCTTTCTAATACCACTCTGGTCAATAATTCCCTTTCTCAAGTCAGTCTGGAATGTGATAGAATGATTGCATCCAGCCAAATGACTGGATTTGCAATGTTCTTTACAGTTGCACTTCGATGTAGTGAGTGTTTTTGGGTGGCAGGTTTTGGAAGGAGAGGAGTTGACATGTAAAACGTTTCTTAGTCCACCTTTACAAGTCTCATAATTGCTGAATATGTTATGAGTCCTCTGACTTTTATCTACCATTTATCTTTCAGAAGATTTTCTCATGCACCCATCTGAGGTTTCAGCTGTCACAGTCCATGGCACAGAATATGGCCCTTAGCCAGTTTTTTCCATTGCATATTAAAAAAGAATAATGAAAGTAGATACCTTTCCAATACATTCATGGTTAGAAAAGATCCTAACCATTTGCTAGCGTTGCTTAATGTGGGATTGTGGGGGTATGGGGTGGCAGGGATATGACAGTAGAAATGCCCATTCATACCGGAAGGAGGAGCTAAAAGGACTCAGGATATTTGCACATTTTACTGCTTTGAAAGAAAGTGCCCAGAAACAATGTTTGATATATGCAATTCCCCCCCAGTCTCTGATGGAAAATTGGCAAAATAATTGTTCTGAACAAGAGACAAGGGAATGGTTTCTTCAGAGTGCAGACTACAATTGAAAGCCATCTTCCTTTGGTGTCACATTGGATTCTGTCTTAGCATTTGTATGTTCACATTTGTTGCTTTCAGCATTTGTACTACAGGTATGGTTTTATGAGAAAATGTTGATTGCCTCATGCACTAAAAATGTGACCAAATAATGCCTTTTCAATAGGTCATTTGCTGTAGTTCTTGTATTGGATCTGTCCAAACCTAATGAACTCTGGACTACTATGGAAGACCTTCTGCAGGTCACCAGGAACCATGTGAACAAAATTTTAACCAAACTGGAAAAGACAAATGCTGAAGTAGCTGCTGAAATTAAACAGAGGAAGTGGAACGATCTGCAGAGGGATCACCCAGTAAGTTACTTCTAATATTTTCTCCAGATGTCACAGGCCTTTATACAGTTAAAGATAATGCTTTTGAAAATCATAAACAACTCTTTTAGATTTTTATGCATGACTGAAAATCCATTTGATGTAGATGAACCTGTTCACTGGAAAATTATAGCAATTTAATAAAAATTCAATAAGAGCAGAAACAAGGAAAGAAGGTTTCTTATATCTTTTTGTTAGATATCTAATGTGATTGTTATGGCATGTTACACCAATCAAAAGAAATAGTTTTAGAGTAGCAGTTTGCTTTTTTTTCCCCCCTCATCTTTTTAAAATGAAGATGAAAACTAGAATGTACAAAAGTCATCTAGCAAGAGACTAGCTGAAGGTACAAATTTAAGCAAAGAATATAGTTATAACAGCCATCAACATGACTATATACTTTGCATTTATTTAAATGTCTATCACAAACTCAATGCCTTTTGATAATCTGACAACTAATTAAATTATAAAGTTTCAGAAATGTTAACATCAGTCCTTTAAACATAATTGCTAACTAAATCTCTGGAAAAGCTAAACTAGATTATGCGCAATAGAAATGAAAAGTCATTGTGCATTAAACCTCTGCAAATGTTGTGTGTATATAATGCATAAATAAGTATTCTCAACAATTCAAAGACCTGGCATGTAAATCTAGTTACTGTAACTTCTGCAAAATGCTTCAATAAAGCAAACACTTATATAGCTCAGAAATTTAAAAGCAGCTTAAAATTTATGAGAAAGCAACATATGCAACACACAGTAGATTTGGAGCATAGGGTTTGAGATGTGGATTATGATTTTGTTTTCTACTTTAAGAGAAGGTAATTCACAAGACCAAAATGCTTACAAGCACACTTGGCTATAAATCATGGCCACAGTGTCAAGTTTACCTCTAGGGGCTATCAGAAAATGGCAAGCTTACTGAAATAAAGTCAAAATAATAATGCTATCATTATAAGATTTGTTATACTTGCCCTGTAGGGAGCACAATTATGCCTTCTAAACTAGAATTTCTATTCAGTTTTCATTATCAAAACCAGAAATAATGTGAATAAAGTGTTATGTTACTCCTTGATTCTCTTTTTACATTCAGGATTGTTCAAGGAAGAATTCTGTCGATTTCGTGGGAGAGAGAAAATACTCTCTTTTATAGTCAAATTAAGTGACAGTTTATACATTTTTTTGCCTTTTTACAGCTAAACATACTTATGTGATAAACAAAAACCAGTGAAATTCTTAGATTTTATTTTTAAGGATTAGATATATTCCAATGGCCTGGCTAAAGAATTATTGGCTATTATGGCAGAGCTTATCAGTTGCAGACCTTGTTTAAAAAGGCTGGATGCACCTTGAGTACTTCATAGTCAAAATTAATTCCATAGTCAAAAGATTAATAGGGTTCAGTATGCTGGTTTTAACATTTCTGATGTTATCCCAGATTTTCTCTTAGATAAGAAACTAAATCTGTTTTTTTTAGTTCTAGATCCTATATACCCAGTTTTAGGTTATGATAATTTTGCTCAAAGCTCTTGGCTTGGCAGTGTATGAGTGAAGCCATTATTTTTCCCCTCAAAGTAGAGGATTTTCAGTATGTGCAGCTTCTTGTCAACATGACTTGACTGTCATTTAACCTGGATGAGAAATACCTGGTTTTAGAAGGGAACAGTTAGGCCAAGCTCTGCTATAACACATCTCTTTTCCACTCTGCTGCAACCAAAGCAGCTTGAACAAGTAATTGTTTGAGCACAAGGGAATTATCTCTTTTCATATGTACTACAGGAAAACCTTCCAGATCACTTGAGAATTACTGTAATCCACTTATTAAAACTTCGATCATAAGTTAGCTATTCAGCAGTTAAATCTACACCTCCAGAGCTATTTTCTTCCATTGATACTGATTTCCATTTTCATGACTGTTAGATGATGCTCAGAAGGATTATTTGCTGACCATTTATGAAGAAAAGAAGAAAATTTTAGAACATTAATTTTGCAGTGATATTGCATAAAAGTTTATTCATCTACCTTAAGGTGTTGAGAGTCTTGTCTTTTGTGAATTAATTTTAACCCCTTTCAGTTGTAACAGTTGCAATCTTCTACAGTTTGTTTAGAGTGCTTAACTGTCCTCTGTCTTTTTAACAGGATTATGAGTTAGTTGACCCTTTTCCAATACCCTTGATGATAATTGGAAGCAAATATGACCTTTTTCAGGTAAGTTATACTAAAATATTTTATTTAATGGTTACAATATTTCTGGTCAAGATTCTATTTACTAAAATTTCACTAACATAATACTAATCTTTTGAATAAATGTTTGGCCAGTTAGCCTTCTACCACAAAAATGGTCTTTCCATCCAACAGCATTAAGGAGGGCATACTGCCATTCCTTCATAAGACACACACAAACTGATGTTTTTTGAGATGTACTTGGAAAATGTTGAGATATAAGTTGCTGCAGAACAAAGAGTGAAGTGAGAAAACATTATGTCAGTGACTTATTTTTATAATGAGCGAAATCCAAATCCATGTGTCCCTTCTGAGTGCAGCTGTAAGTTTATGGAAGTGAAAGAGAGGTGTCTCTCAAGTCAACTGGTCAGATATTCCTGCTAGTTGTGACAGCACAAACTGCAAACTTTCATTTTAGTCTGGAACTTTTTTTAAATACTTCTTAAGTTTTTTGAGACAAGTGAGTAATTCTATCTTTTCTGGGGGAGAGGAACGAAGTGTCATAGTAGTGCTGGACTCTCTCCCAGGAAATTAAAAATCCAGACAAATGCATTATCACAGCACTTGATCATGAGAAACTAGAACAGCATGTTTGATTTTTAGCAGCCTGTGCTTCTCTGGACGACTACATAGTGCACTGATAACCTGGCTGACTCTTTGAGTTACTTAATTCTTTGGTAATAAGGTATGTGCTTTCTCATACCAAGGCTTTATGCTGAGCCATGACCTCTTTTAAAATCAGTGACTTTCATATAATAAGCATAAAATAAAGCCTAATTCCTTTGAGGTCTATGGATAGACTTGTGTTGTAGTCTACTACTAGACTTCATGTTTTCACCCAGTTTATCCAGGGATGTGTGATCTTAGATTGCAAGAAATACTGATAAGAATTTATTTTAAAGTACCTTTCAAATCTTGCAGGTATTAGAATTTAGAGAGCATATGCCCGCAGATTTATTTAAATATTTTCACAAGAAGCAAAGAATCCTTTTTCTCCTGGGAGGCAGCCTTTCTGCTGCTAAAATTTGAAAAGAAAAATCAAACAAATTAATTGAAAATGGAATACACATTCCCAGTGATGAAACTTTCTCTGGACTAACATATTGCCTGAACTAGGCTCCCTCTGTAAAAAAGAAACAAAAGGAAATTGTGACATTTCTTTTCAGAGTAGGCTGTTACTGATTCTGTCTTAAGATATAATTATGCTGACAGCTGAAAACCTCATATGTTGTAGCCTAAGTGCGTTGCAGTTTATACAAAAGAAATGAAAAGTTCTAACTGTAATATTTTGGGTTTTGTTTCTTACATGTATTTTCCAATATCAACTTTTTCAGGAGTTTGACTCTGAAATGAGGAAAATAATAAGCAAGACACTTCGCTTTGTTTCACATTACTGTGGAGCATCATTAGTGGTGTGTATATTCAATTTATATATTTAAGGATAGAGAAGAGGAACAATATTGCTGTTACAAAACATGATTTAAACAAATGGAAATGTAAAACTCCTAGAGAAAGTGGGATTTAATTGATTTTACAGTAGCTTGCTCCATGAGGCTACCTGTTGAATGAGTTACAGGTATTGGCAGGGGATGGATCAACATGCCTTGCAAACAAACAAACTACACAATTCCCAGTATCAGCAAAAACTAAATAAAAATCATTATCTTTTAGCCATCTCAGTTCCTGTATTGAGTTTACTGCATATTTGACAATTATTTTTTTTTTATACAAGAAAAGAGGGAGAAGCAAAAGTGATTGCCCTACATCAAATTAGAGAACTGGCCCTTTTGGTAGAAGCATTATCTAGTGATCTGGCTTTGGGAGATTCAAAACCTTAGATTCAAGGGCTCATTTTCACAGCAGTTTATGCATACCAGATTACTACACTTAGAGTGTTGAAGGAGAAAGGCAGGGGGTTTTATAGTAGTGAGTAGAAAGATGCCAAACACGAGGACATAGAAGTATTTATGTGGGCATATAAATTGATTTTAGTTTGTCAGATCATCTTCTGAGTAAAGGCAGGAACATTCATGCTGAGATTCACAATCCAAAAAGGCTGCCTCTTGGGCTCACTCAAGATGGGTCTAATTGTATCAACCATCATTTATGTAATAAATAGCATTTAATAGTAGCTTAGTGATTACCAAAACAATTTACGTTTGCATTAAATTCTTATAATCACAGCATGTCCTTTTGCATCCATGTCAACCTGTGCAGCTTTTTTACTTTGACATGTGAATTCATCTTTTGTTAACTGAGAATACAACTATCTTGATATTTTTTTAAAGTATTTAAACATTATTGTAATTAAAAATGAAAAACAAGACTCCTAAAACTCTTTGGCTGCTAAATCCTGATTATCATTGAAATGAGTGGGAGAATCTTAATTTCCCACAGTAGGGATCTGACTTCTTTCTCAAAGACAGGAATCTGTGAGGGTACTAAAGCTCTTAGACAGGAATAAGCTGCTTGTTTGACAATATATTCTGAGAACTGCTTTCTCATATATCTGTACCATTCTGCCAACTTGAAGCTGCTTTTATGACTTGGGAAAATTACATAGTTATTCATTTCATTTCTAAATGTTCATGGTATTCTGGATAATGTTTTATGTCATTTAAAATCTTAATAACTCTTTAGTCTTGGCAAAAGATTTGTGTCTCTTAATGGGCGTATTTCAAAAGGTTTGAATCAGTATTTTGAAATTTATTCTTTAATCTTCATTTATGCTATTTTCCTTTTAATCTTTTGTGATCTGTATAACAGATACATTGCTGTTTTGGAAGGGAGGGTGAGATTTTTATTCTAGTAAATTCAGCACGTATACCAAATTTATTGAGGTGAGGAATTAGCAAGGCTCTGTCCTGTTTTTAGATGGCATAATGGCATGTTTCTGTAATGAAAGGTCATAATGTATATTTTATTTTCTGATTCACTTAGT